CTTCCCTGTATTTCTGCTTCTATTTTTAAGTCATTCATGTTTTCTAAATTTAAGATCAATTGTGTCATATATATATATATTTTTTTTTGGTTTTTCTCCGGTACCAGGAACTGAACTCATGACCTTGCGCTTGCCAGGCAGGCGCTTTTGCTGCTGAGCTAAATCCCCAGCCCTGTGTCATATATTTTGATGAACATCATATTTTATATGTATGTAAATATTTGGCATGAAATTAAAAACATTTGAAAACATGCATTTTATATATGTTAATATATAAAACATACATTTCATATATGTTATAGATATATATAACATAACATATATGAATGAAAATTACTCATTACATATCCTTATATCTCTATGTTCATTTCTTGACTTTCACTTTTCTAGGATTGCATTAACTGTGTGTGTCGATTAATGTTTTTCTTTATCTTTTACAATTTTCCTAGAACCTGTTTCTAGCTGTGAGATTACTAAGTCAAAGGTCAAAAGATCTTAAAAATTTTTTAATTGCTGTCCTTTCACATTAAATCCCAACATGAAATTTTAAGAATGTTCTAAATTATGCAAGTTTGATGATAGTACCAGTAGTATTTATTGTTCAGTGTGGAGGGGTTCAGAATTGAATTACCCTGCTCTACATTTGCAAACTCAATGTGCTATTTACTCTCTGGAAACCTTTGTTGTAGGGGTGGGAATTCACTTATGTAAATTCCTAGGACACAGTGACCATCTGAACAACCAGAATTATTTATACCACTGCTGCTAACGATAATAATGATGAAAATAGTTCCTGAAGTAACTTAGAGGAATAAGCTATATAATACAATAGCCCCTTAAATAACATCGAAGACTATGATGGCACCTGATTAATGCTACAATCCTAAATGAAGAAGTAAGTAACAGAAGAGTTTGGGAATATATTATAGGTTTATCTGAAAGTACAGTTTGACTAAGAAAGAAAAGTGTGTTTTCCAGTTGATCATCAATATTTTGATAAATTCATGAATTTCTTAAAGAGATACTAGATTTGGGTTCGATTTTAGACCCTTAACACAAAGATGATGAGCTGACATTTTCTTCCTCACACAAACAGGAGGGTTCTATGAAAGCTAGAAGGATAAGAAATGCAACCAGGGCAGTTGGAACACTAATCTGACCGGCATTATTTTTCCAATTCCTCTGGCTGCAGCCCTACCTGCTTATCTTTTATTTTTTAATAAGATTCCCAAATCCCCATTTTAATTACAAAATAGAGATACAGAAATTATATTCCAGGAAACCGCTGCATGAGTGTGGATGCCGTTAATACAAATTCTAAGCTTAACTGATTTCAAATCTAACACTTCCTCGTCTGCTTTCTGTGAAATAGAATTTTTCCTAGCATTTCTGCTCCACAAGTTCCCTTAAATTATTTCTTCCTTGACTCTAAAATATAGGAATTTTTTTTCCTCCTTCTACAGTACCTCTGCCCCATCATTTAACTCAAGTTTTATGGTTTTTTGTGTGCAATTTTTTTCACTTGAAAAATAAATTCAATCACAGTTGTGGATTTGATCAAAATTTTCCTCGATCATTCTCTAATAATCTCTACAGTACATATCCTCAACTGATAAATATTTCAGTCTTTTGATAAATTTATGCTCTAATATTCAAAACTCTGTGTATGTTACAAATAACTAAAATTTGCATTAAAATAGTGCAAAAATAAAATGTTGTACCCAACTACCACCAATAACATTAGTGATGAATGATAATATTAATAACATCATGTAATAACATCATGTAATTTTAGAATATCCAGATTATGTTACTACTCATAGCTGATTAAATGCTTTAATATACTTAAGATCAAATGCATATATTTCTTCTTCTGCATTTGAATTTAAGCTACAACCCATCCATTTTAAGAGTTAATAGAATTTAAATCAATTCTCTCTCTACATAAGTGTTTTAGAAATTATTTCTAGGTTTAGCAATAATCTCTGAATTTACAGCATGGACTTATATTCTGCTCCCAGTATTTCAAGCTTCTAACCTTGTTATCAGCAAAGATTTCACTTCAAAACTAGCTTTTACACTGAAGTCTATTCCTTTGTATGGTTTGCATAACTGAGTCACTGCGTTTTAGCAAGGCAGGAACTGACACTATAAATATGCCTTTTTGCAGTCTGACTGCCATTTCCCTGCTTGTAAACTTAAATACGTGAAGACTCATACTGTAACTGTTAAGTCAACAGGGAAGAAAATCAATTAGGAGTGTTTGCTTTCACATTTGCTGAGATTAAACCTTGTTTATGTGATTGAAATCATGTGCAATAGTGCTTTCAAAAAACCTTGAAAAAAGTGGTATATTTCCTCCTACTCAGGCAAACACTAAACCTCGAAGCAATTGCACTTATTGAATATTATTTTTATATAAAATATGTGTCTCCTTACTGCAGATTAAGGGAAGGAAGAAATAAACTTAATAGATTAGCTGACAGAGAGCAGATTCAAAGTGTATATGAACATGCAAACACACACACACACACACACACACACACACACAAAGTTTTTTCTGTTGACCTAGTATTCAAAACTCATAAGAGGGCAGAGGAGGCCAAGTTTTGAGTTGCAGTTATAGGTTCTGACAGAAGAGCTGTGGTCAGCTATAAGATTCTCCCTCTCAGCAAAGTGCTTTCATAATTCTATGAATTTGTGATGAGGAAAATTCAGTTATATTTCACAATTTGCAATTTTAGAAACTCATCTACCCACCCATCACACACACATTTCTTATACATTAAAACCATGAAAAATTCAAAATAGATATTGTCAACTCTCTCAGACTTTTTCGAAAGAAGATTAGTCTAGAAAGCTCTGAGGCTAAGGAGCTTTAACATTTCTGTGAAACGTGAACTGAAGACAGATCATTTAAACAGTTCACTGCAGAAAGAGAATAGTAAAATTATTGTTTGTATTCTCCTCAAAAAAGTAATGTGGACATCAACCTGGATCCAGCATGATTTAGCATAACACATTTAGTCTTTGATGTTTTCCATAGCTTTGATTGTTTTTTTTTTTTTTTTTTTTTTTTTTTTTT